CAACAAAAATGGGCAGTTTTTATCTTAATACTTACTGAAAAATTGCTCTCCAAAAAGTGTTCTGTCCTCTTAGCCTCCTTCCAACAGAGTAGCAATGTGCTCATTTCCCACATCCTTACCAACCCAGGGCATCATCAAGCTTTTATATTTTAGTAATCTGATAAAAATGATTGATAATAATTGATAAAAATGTACGACATTAATTTACATTTCAATGATTACCAGCGAGGTTGTACATTTTTATAGAGTTTACTGAATATTTGTATTTCTTTTTTCTAGAAATTGCTTTTCATATCCATTGCTCACTTTTCTCCTGGAGTGTTTGTCTTTTTCCTATTGATTCATATTGATATTAATCTTTTATTAATATAATGCAAATATATTCCCAGGCTGTGAATTGTCTATTAATGTTGTTTTTTATGTTTTTTGCATACGGAAGTTTCCTTTTTAATTTTCATACATTTAAATATGTGACTATTTTCTTTTATGACTTTAATGTTTTATATCTTGCTTAGACAGGATTTCTTCACCCCAAGCTTGTGAATACGTTTTTCTATATTTTCATCTAATACTTTTATGTTTAGTTCTTTGAGTATGGTGTATGTGTATAACTGTATTCCTTTCAAAATGGATAACCAAACTTCACCCTAATTTGAGAAGTAATTCAACATCTTCCAACTAATTTTTTTTACCATCCTTATCATTAATAGCAGCTAGTACTCCCACAGTTCTGACCATACTCCAAGCACTCTTCTAAATGCTTTATGTACATTAACTTATTTAATCTTCACAACCACCATAAGATATAGACGGTATAATGTTCCCTATTTTACACATAAGGAAACTAAGGCACAGAGAGTTTAAGTAATTTGCCCAAGAATGCACAGGTGGCCTGGCTTGACATTTAATACTTTTAATTACTATGCTAAATCCCAGTGTACACACTCCTGTTTCTAAATTCTATTCAGTCTTATTAATCAAGATCTCTGCCTATACCTGCACCAACCCTATCTTTTTACAATTATATTTTCAAATGTGTTTTAATTTCTGAAAGAGAAGTTTCTCCCATTTTTTTATTCTCAGAATTTTCCAGGCAATTACCTGTTATTTTCTCTACCATTTGACCTATAGAATCAGCTTAAGTTTCACATATAATGATTAAGATTGCATTACATTTCTAAAATAATTTGAAAAGGATTGATATCTCAAAAATATTATTTTTCTATGAGGAAGAGGCTATGTATCTGCATCTATTGGATCTTCTTTTATCTTTTTTCCTATAGTTTTCAACATATGAATTATATTTTTATTAGGCATTTCATAGTTATTATTGTTATTGAGAACGGATTCCCTTTTCTCTGTTTTATTCTTACATATTTTGTTAATAATATGTAGGAAAGCATTGATTTTTCTATGCTAATTTTGTATCTAACCGTCATACTGACTGCTTTATTGATTCTGATAATTGTTTTCTTGGATTTTCAAGGCAATCTTTTGTGTGCAAATAGTTATACCTGTGTCTTTCCTTTATAATGTTTATATATCATATTATTCTTTTTTGTCTTATTGCATTATTTAGAGTTACTCTCTATTACAAGGTTAAATAGTAACAATTTGGGGGGCAAATTTATCTTATTTCTAACATTAGTAGGAATGCTTCTAACGTTTTACATCAGATATATTTGCTCTTATTGTTTTTTTCTTTTTAGTATGCTTTTTGGTGAAGAAGTTTGGCCCTGAGCTAACATCTGTTGCCAATCTTCCTCTTTTTTTTTTTCCTCCCAAAAGCCCCAGTGCCTAGTTGTATATCCTAGTTGTAGGTCATTCTAGCTCTTTTGTGTGGGATGCACCACAACATGGCTTGATGAGCAGTGTGTGGGTCTGTGCCCAGGATCTGAATTGGCAAACCCTGGGCCATGGAAATGGAGCACATGAACTTAACCACTCAGCCACAGGGCTGGCCCATGCTCTTGTTTTATGCTAACCTTACCAGCTTAAGGACGTTTCCTCTAGTGAAGCTTACCAAGACTTATTGTTTACTTGTTTTTCATCAAAAGAGATCATTGAATTTTAGCAGATGCATTTTTCCCATATTGAAATGTCATGAGTTTTTCCTCCTTTGATCTATTTATGTAGTGAATTACAGTAATGGATTTCCTTATGTTGAGTCATCCTTGCATTAATAATAGTTACATGTGCCAGAAGCTATGTTAAACATAATTAGATGAACACACATTTAAGATTGTTGTATTCTCTTGATGAACTGACCCTTTTTTATTATGAAATTTATTACTAATTGGAATATTTAGTGCATTTACATTGAATATAATTATTAATATGGTTGGGTTTAATTCTACCATCTTGCAATTTGTTTTTTATTTATCCCATCTCATGTTTCTTTCTTTGTTGATTCTTTGTCATATTTTACCATTACGTATGTTAGAAATGCCACAACACATTGTTGTTACTTTTGCTTGAACCAGTTAATTATCTTTTAAGGAAATTGAAAGATAAGAAAATAAAATTCATTTATATTCATGCACATATTTACCATTTCCAATAATCTCCATTCCTTCCTACAGTTCTAAGTTTTACCTTTGGTTCAATGAACTTCAGCATTTCTTTCAGTTCCATGACTAATATAAACAAATTCTTTCAGGTTATATCAATCTGAAAGTTTTTTAACTTCCATTTTGAAGAATATTTTGAAAGATAAACTGCTTTGGGTTTTATGAGCTTGTTAGATTGGCAGATGGATTTTTTCACCAAGTTTTGAAAATTTTTGGTTATTATTTCTTCAAACAGTTCTGACCCACTCTCTTTTCCCTTTTCTTCTTAGACTTCAATTACATGTGGGACAATTGATATCATTCTACAAGATACTGAGGCTCTGTTCATTTTTTAAAATCTTTTTTCTCTGTTTTTCAATTTTGATATTTTCTATTGATCTGTTTTCAGTTCTCATACTTCCTGTTCTGCAGTGTCCAATCTCCTCTTAAGCCACTGAGGGAAATTATCATTTCTAGTATTTTTAATTGACATTTTTTTATAGCTTGTATTTCCTTTTGGGATTTCCCAACTGTTCATTCATTATGTCCATGTTTTCCTTTAAATCCTTGAACATGTTTATAATTACCATTTTTAAAACTGTGTCTTGACTCCGAAATCTGAGTCATCTCAGGATGTCTTTCTATTGCCTGCATTTTTGTCTTGATTATGGATCCCATTTTCCTGTTTCTTTGCATGTGTAGTAATTTTTTATTTTATACATCATGTTATGGATGATATATTGTAGAGCATCTAGATTATGTGTCTCTCATTTAAAGGCACAGAATTTGGTTCAGGCCAGCAACTACATAACTGGCTCATTCTCTCTTTTTTTTTTGGAGGAAGATTAGCCCTGAGCTAACATCTGCCACCAATTCCCCTCTTTTTGCTGAGGAAGACTGGTCCTGAGCTAACATTCATGCCCATCTTCCTCTACTTTATATGTGGGACACCTACCACAGCATGGCTTGCCAAGTGGTGCCATTTCCGCACCCACAATCCGAACTGGCAAGCCCTGGGCCACCAAAGCGGAACGTGCACACTTAACCACTGTGCCACTGGGCTGGACCCTGGCTCATTCTCTTGATCCTTCAGGTTTCATTTTATTCTTTGGCCAAGTCTATATTGATCTTGACCTTAATCTGAGGATATGCTCTACTCTTTGTTCCTAAAGAGTGGCCTTTCTGGGGTCTCAATTGAATGATTGACGTGCTCAGTGATGTCTTCCCACTATGACTTATCTTTTAGCACTGCATGATCTCTGGCATTTCCATTCATTTCTTAGCTCCACAGCAGCTGCTGTCTTGCAGAATCTTGAGGTCTTGCAGAATCTTAACCTGCACATGCAAAGCCCAGACAAGCTGTCAGCCAAAGAGCTAAAGAGAATTTCCAAACCAACTTCTGGGACTTCCTTTCTATATAGCTCACTCCTCTCTGGAATCCTACCTTGCAAATTCCAGCTGCCTTTACAGTTTCTCTGTTTCAATTTCTGCCTCCTCAGCGCGGTAAGACTAATGTTCTTCTTTTGGGCTCTACTTCTGTGTGCCTCATTCAGGAAAGTGCCCCCAGACACAGAATCAGGTTAAGTATGGGGCTCACATCATGTATTTCTTATCTCTCTAGGACTCTCCTGCAATGTCCATTTTTCCAATGCCTAAAAATAGTCACCTCACATATTTTGTTCACTTTTAGAGTGGAAGGGTAAATCCAATGTCCGTTACTCCACATGGGCTGGAAGTAAAATTGTAATAGAAGAACCTAATTGATCTCTTTCTTTTTATTCCTTCCATCTTATTCCATGAATGCTTTTCATTATATTTTCTTGCAGCTCCCTCCCTTCTCTCTCTTTCTCTTGCTCTCTCTCTCTCTCTCTCTCACACACACACACACACTTTGCTATCCTTTGGAATAATAATACTTTTCATGTTTTTTTTTCTTTCTTCTCTAATGGTCTCAATTTAAATTGGTTTTGTTTAAAAACATTTTAAACGTTTTAATTTATTCTTCTCAATGTCAAGATTGCAGTTAGAAATACGGACCCTCCTTTTTGACATAAAAACTTAATCACATTTTACTTATTCCTCTTTTCCACCTCTCTCCTCACCCCACATCTCTAGGGAGCTTTCTTTCTTTCTTTTTTTTTTTTTTTTTTTTTTTTGGTCAACATTTTTCTTTTGAAAATTCTTTGTTATAAATTGTACTTAGTTGCACAACCATCTTACAAACAATTCTTTAGACTTAAGTCTAAGTTTTTCCTGCTCACTTCTCTTTTTCCTAAAACATGACTTTATCTTTATTAAATTCTTTATTTTGATTAGCTTTTTCCTGAAGGTCTATTTTTAAGTTATATTTTTTAAAAAAGCATACATGAATCATATAATTTCTAAATTCTTACAAATCTGAACCAGGCTTTCATTTGCCCTCACATTTAGATAATAGCTTGGTTTGGCATATAATTTTTGGAAGATAATGCTTTTTATTCAGAAGTCTATACATTTCCTCTGAGTTTTTCTAGCACCAGTGTTGCAAAACAGAAGTCTAATGTCATTCAAACTTTTTTCTTTTTGGTGACCTTTTTTTTCCAGTTGGCTGTTCCAGAATTTATTCTTTATCCAGGACATAGAAAACCATCTGAGTATGATTCCTTTTCATGGTACCTGCCCAGTTTTTGGTAAGCCTTCTCCACGTAAAGATGGAACACTTCAACTCAGAGAAATTGTCTTCTTTTGTTTCTTTGATTATTGCTTTGCATTCATCCATACTATTTTATCCTTCTGGAACTCCTATAATAACAGTATTGCTTCTCTTGCTTCGATCTTTTCTGCCTCTTGACTTTTCTCTTGAATTCCCAACTCTTGGAGTTTATGCACTACATTCTGAAAGAATGTCCCTTAGTTATTCTCCTTTATTTATTGTTTCCCATGACTACATTTTTGTGGAAGTCTGCACTTAAAAAAAATTAATATAGGATCCCTTTGAATCTGACTAGGAAAATTAGATCCCTCACCCCAAGTTCTTCCCTTTATTCTACAGATAATATGATTTAATCTGAATGCTCACATTTGATAGTCTTCATTTGAGCTACTAAATTTCTTAATTAATCTGGAAATTTTTCTCTTATCCTTAGAATGGAAGAACTGGTTTTTCCAGGATAAACCGCCAAAATGTGAATAGTGACTCATCCATGTCCCCTTCATTCACTCCCACTTGTATCATTTTCAGTTAAAACTCCTCAGCTTCATGAATATAGTCGAGAAGTTTCTGATGATAACACACAAATGATCTTTTTATAGTCTTTTTACATTCCTTGGGTTGTGTCTTTCTGAAATGATAAAAAAGAAGAGATGAAACATGTGATTAGGATACCATCTTTGTCACAGAAGTTTCCATTTATTTTTCCTAGACTATGACAAGAAAATTTTATATTTGGTTCTCACTTAGGAAAAATAAAGTTCTTTAAGAGAAAAATTGGATATACTTCAAGTTTCTTCCATATACAGAAGCAGGAAAGTTATTTTGATTCCAACATTCTTATGAAAAGTGCCTTTTATGGGGGGGCAGAGAGAATGAATTTTGTATTATTTTCCCCCCAATAAAAACATTTTGAGATACTTTCCTTGAAACCACCTTTTACAGTCTTGAATTTACTGTAGACTTCTGTGTCCAACTGCCCAGACGAGGACAGGGAAATATGTCCATGGAAGTTAACCTCTGCTGAATACAACCATGAGGAAGAAAAACACTGGGAACATCTGTATTTTATCCTGCCAATATGTTCTCTCTTATTCTGGAAGCACAGGATGTCTTTACTCTGTCAGCTGCAAAAATATTATCTCTCTGCAGGAAAGAAACAAGTGTGGAATATATATTATGCTACCACATTACATGCATACCTAAGCAGAAAACAAAGAAAATAACCATTTAATATATAACTCAATTTTGCCTCCAGGGACAGATAAAAATTTTTATTATAATACCCAAATGGTACAGTACATAAATATACATGGGAAATGTGATGGGGCTAAGTCAGGCTCTTTTAGCTAGATGCTGGTGGCTAAAAATTTATCATCTGACCCCCATTCTAATCCTTCCTGTCCCATACACATGAAGTAGGCTATATTTTTTATTCGGGCCAGGAATTTGGGGCAAGGGAGACCAAAACCCATCATCGTTTTCCAGCAGATCATTAATTTCTAAATGTCTGTGGGAAATAACTATTGGCTGATATCTTCCAGTTTCATTTCAAACATTATACCATATATGGTTTACTTAATAAACAACTAAGATAGTAAAAAATAGTAAGAGTAACTAAATTGGTAATTTAATAACTTCAGATGATTCTAGAGACTTAGTGGTGTTTACCCTTTTTGAAATCAATAACTTTTCATTTGGAATCTTAAATCTGCTTTAATGAGCATTCTACTGAAAGTGGTTTTATTTAGGATCCGAGCTTACACAAACAACAGAAATAGAGGCTTTTATCTAAATAACAATTTGCAGTTAACTTTTGCAAACTGCATGACTGATTTGAATGTATAAATCCCTGCAATCGAATTATGTATGCTTCTTAAAAAATTTTAACGCTTTTAACCAGCCAAGAGGTTATATAGGAAGAGTGCTCTCAATGTGAGGAATCTTGATATTGCTCAGTTATTTGCAATATGTCTGAAACAGCTCTTCTAACACTGGTTCCATCTTTGAAAGCCCATACAGAGCAATAACATGACTTCCTGACAAGCAGTAAAAGAGAAATATCCTGCAGTGCTACTGGCTTTCTGCATAAGTTGCAAGTTTTAATGAATTATCAAATTGTAATATTTGTCAACATGTAATACTCTATTTCTTTGTATCTTCACATTCACTCACTCTGATTTAACTCTGACAATGTCTTCTGCATTGTTTCTCTGTCTATAAGACACCTTTTGCCATCATGTAATCTATCCATATAAAACTAATTAGCAGCACCCTCCACAAAACAAGGGGCTAAATCTATTGTTACTATAATCCACAATACTCTGCCTCTGTGCCCCAGAGAACCAAGTAGCTCTGGAAGTCTCCAGAGGGTGTTCAGGAATGAAACTATAGCATTTGGGCTCATCGTTGCTGCTCTGTGAGATGCTGTCCTGTCTTGCACTGATGTTGCCTCCTGGAAGCGTTTCAAAGCAATCACGCCCATAAAACACCAAAACGAGGCTGCGTTCCCTTCATAGTTTACAAAATTCATCCTAAGAATGATTTCCTCTTCTGTTATAATTCTTCTTTCCACAGAGGCTCAAAAATTAGTCCTTGGGCCATGCTGGAGGCAGCAGCAAGTGATGTCTCCCTATCTTGTCCCTCTCCCAGAGGCCCTATAACAAAACCTCTCCTAAGCCAAAAACAAAAAGGTGCAAGTCACATAAACAAACACCCAGGCCGACTCCAAACCCCAGTTTAGTCTCAGCCTACATTTAAATATCTGAAGGTCACTATCTCAATAAATAACCTACTGTGTTGCTTCATAAACATTCCCATGCTGTGAGCAAGGAGAGTGCTTACCTGAGAATGAAGCTAGCACAGAGGAAAGCAATCCAGGAGGCAAAGAGGGGCCCCTACCCACTTCATCTGAGCCCCTGAAACCAGCATCCTCTCCTGGTCTCCCCAGTTACGTGTGCCAATAAATGCCCCTTTTTGCTTAAGACAGAGTTTGGTTTTATGTCACTTGCAACTGAAATAATCCTGACTAATATATTAATAATTATCATATTTTATTAGGTTGGATAAATATCATTGCCTTAGGAACTTGAAACAACAAATCCCAGAGATTTCCAACCGTGAAAACTGCAGCCTGATGAGTGATTTAATTAAATATGCGCTTATAGATCACTCCCCAAGCCACACATGTACAAATGAGGAGAGACAAATCTGAAGGAGAAGGAAAAAACCTTTTACATTTGAAACAATGTATTAAGAAGACATCTGCCCAATGTCTAGGACTGGGAAGATAAATGATTCCATTTTATGTTGTTATTAAATTGTATTACTCTTCATTAAAGTTAAATGCATTTAGAGGAATTAAGCTCATCAAAAACTTGGCAGTGGAATATAAGCAATGATTCTTTGTTTATTCGACGACATCCTCCTGTGAATTGATTCACAATTTTAATTTTGGAAAACAATGTTTCCTTGATGGGGACTGACAGAATGATGTGAACTGCTGCATCATTTCGCATGAAGTCATATCGATTGTGAAAGGAAGCAGAAACCAAGTGACTTAACCAATATTTCCGGGAGCATTATGACAAGAATATTTCTACATTGTCAGAGGGATCACATCAATTGAAGAACTGAAATTAAGCCTTAGGAGACAATTGCCTATCCTTTTTAAGATAAATATAACGGAATTCTATAAAGACAAAAATTATAAATATTTTTAGTGAAAAAAACCCTAATTTTAAAAATATGTATGAATATCAAGCATGTATCATGGACACATGGTAAGCAAAACAATACATGAGAGAGCTTGCAACCTAGTGAGAAAGGAAAGCATTAATCCAATTACAGAATTATAATTCCAGTTGGGATAAACATTACCAGAGAAATGTGCCTGCCCCCATGGAAGCCCACACTGGGGGCTTTGCCCTAAGCAGATAGACCAAGGAAGGAGTTCGTACAGAAGTGAATTTTGAAGAATGAATAAGCTCTAACTAGATAAGAGGGAAAAGAGCATTATAGTGAGAGGGACCAGTCTCTCCATAGGTATAGAGAAGGATGGGGTAAGAATCAGAGACCTAGACCAGCTGTGAGCCCAGAACCCAGGGAAAGGAGGTGGAGAGGGGCGAAGGGCAGGCTGTGCAGGGGCGGTGAGTTCTCTCCTAGAACAATGGCAGATCTTGAAGGGTTTTAAGTGGGACCTGGGAAGATCGACTTTACATTAAAAAAAAAAAAAATCACTTTCACTTCAGGCTGGATAATAAATGGAGGGTGGAGTCAGGATCCAGGCAAGGGAAAATGGTAGGTGGGGCTGGGCAGGAGTGGCGATGAGGGCACGATGCAGAAAGGCAGAGGGAGAATCCTCAGGGCAGTTTATCCTCATCATTTACTGGAAACCGGCACCATGAAATCTGACTGACTCTCTCTGCTCTTCTAAACTTTTTATTAGGGAAAATTTCAAACATATAAAAAAGGAGACAGAATAATATAATGAACCTCTAGGTACTCAACACCTAGCTTCAAAAATGTCCAACTCTGGGCTAATCTTGCTTAATCTATATCCCCACTTCCACATATATTTTTTAAAGTTATGAACATGTCAAACCTCCAGAAAAGTTGTGAGAATAGTAAATAATCATCCATTTATTGTTGAAATAATTGTTGAATAATTGTTGACATTTTGTTAACTTGCTCTATAGGTCTGTGTATACATGTATTTATGTTTATATACACATATGCATATATCATCATCTATCTCCTAAGAGCAAAGGCATTCTCCTATATAACCGTTACACAATTATCACACTCAGGAAATTTAACATTATCTAATATGCAATCCATATTCAAAATTTCCTGCATGTCCCAACAATGTCCTCTATGGCTGTTTTTCCCCTGATCCAGAATCTAAACAAGGACCATGCGATGCACTTCATGGTCCTGTTTCTTTAGTCTCCATCAATCTTAAGAGCTCCTCAGCCTTTTTGTCTTTCATGACATTGATGCCTTTGAAGAGTACAGGCCAGCTACTTTGCAGAATGTCCTTTAATGTGTGTTTGTCTGATTGTTTCCTCATGATTAAATTCAAGTGAAACATTTTGGCAGTACTATCACACAGGTGATGCTGTGTCCTTCTCAATGTGTCACATTAGGAGCCATATGATGTCAGTTGTACTGTTATTAATGATGATTCCTTCAGTTTTTCAACCGATTGAATTCATACCCTGTAGACATAATCCATTACTGAGGAAACCAGACAAGGACTGCAAAATATAATTTCTATTTCCCCATGAGCTATCTTAATGCCAAGAGACATTAACACAGGTCATTTATACAGACAAAGCTTTATCAGTTTTTTTCATGAAAGGTGGATATAGATCATAAATAGACACCAACAGAGGATGAATATCCTGCAGCGATGAGAGGAAATCGGTACACTTGGTAATTAGAATCCTGAGAAGAAGTAAAGCATGGGGTGAGGCATGTGGCCTCAGGAGCCAGACTGTCAGGGATGTCATCCTGGCCCTGCCGCCCACCACCTGTGTGACTTTGGGCAAGTTACTTACCCTTTCTGTATCTGCTTCCACATCTGTAACATGGGTAATCATAGAACTCATCTTATATGGCTTGTGTGAG